GGGGTTGTCGTCATGGTTTGACCAACCTTTCCTAGAATTTTGACCAAGTAGTAGAAATTGTCGCGAAAATGTTTTCGACAGGGGTGGGGGATTTTCCGAACTAGCATAAGCAAAGCTTCAAATATTTTTCGACCAAAATAAGCAAGGCTTGCAATTGTTTCAGCGCAAACATGACCAAAGCTTAGAAATTGTTAAAATTGCAAACGATTTCATAACTTGATCATCTTTTATCTCAAACTTTGACCAAATTTTACCAACTTTGACCTTCAAATTTAAACAAATATTAGTTCCATTTTGACCAACTTTGACCAACGTTTTGAATTATTGGGCGGCGGCGGGGGGGGGGGGGTTACACCCCCACACACACACCCTTTAGCGACGTCCCTGGTACAATGTCCCTTTTGGAGGACAAAGCGAAAGTCAAACTGGAGGCAGTTCTTACATGTGAATAAAGCAAGAATATAATCAGACAACTGTATACCGGAGGAATTGAATCATAATGTAAATACATACAGTCACGTTATAATAAGAACAATACATACATGCAATATAGATAGAGCATTTTTGTACGGAGTATTTAGCTTCATCTTTTTTGATTCGATATTCCTCAGAGCCGTTTTTTCGTTCCCAAACTAAACCATCGTCATCAACACGAATTCCAAACATTATCAATCTGTTGTTGTATTTTTCAGCAGTCGGTCGCTAAAAAAAGAATGAAAGTAGAAATATTCCTTCATACTTACTGTTACTTATCCCATTAATTTGCATTGAACCATGAAGGTCCCTCCTAACTATTTCACTCTGTCAAACCGAACAGTTTTACCTGCCAAGGGGAGAATGCTCCCGTTCAATAGGACAAGTAAATTAAAAAAGGCAAGGCCGGTTTACACATGTATGGTATACTACACATATATGTATATTGAAATGGCATGGTATGCAATGGTGTAGTATAGTATAGTATAGTATAGTATAGTATTGTATGGAATATGTTATGTTATGGTATGGATGGATATGGTAGGAAATGTAATGGTATGGCACTATGATACAGTATAGAACATATAGTATGGTATGGTATGGTATGGTATGGTATGGTATGGTATGGTATGATATGGTAAAGCAAGGAATAGAATGGAATGGCCATAGCATGGTATGATTTGGTATGTAAGAGTTAATCACCGAGAACGGAGGTTCTTAGTCAGATAGATTCCGAGGAGCGTGACCCAAGGAAAGATAAGAAAAGAATCTGTATGGTACGATGTGCCAATGTACTAATAATAATAATAATAATAATAATAATAATAATAATAATAATAATAATAATAATAATAATAATAATAATAATAATAATAATAATTACAATATTTAGTCAGGGGGTCCACTCACGAAAGTGATTTTCAGTGGATCCATGATAAAAAATAATAAATAAAAGAATAAAAATATAAACTAACAAATGTGAATATATGAAAGGTTAAATCGCATAAAGTTCTTGTGCATCCTATCGGTTCGGTGGGGTGTCCTATGGCTATATAGCTAAATGTTTCTTTAGTTTAGTTTTAAAAGTTTTAATTTGACGTATATTCTGGAGTTCCACAGGCAGACTATTCCAGTCATTGGCAGCATGGTAGCTAAATGCCTGCTTTCCCCAGTTCTTTTTGACACGTTCCAAATGTAAGTTCTGCTTGTTTCGAGTCTTGTAGCTGTGGATGTCAGAGGAGAACTTGAAATTAAATATAAAATCGATGTAATTGTTTAAACACTTGTGCATGATTAGACAACGGTGAAAACGTCTACGTGTTGCTAACGGCTGCCAATTTAACGATCGTAGGAATTCTGAGGCTGACGAGAGTGGATGAGCGTCAAGAATGATTTTAGCGGCTTTGTTGTGCAGAACTTGAAGGTTGTTCATTAGGACAGAGTTGTTTTTAACACCCCACACAAAATTAGCGTAGTCAAAGATCGGCATGACAAGGCTGTTTACTAGAGTACGACGAGATTCAACTGTTAGGAGGTGCTTAACTCTTCGTATGATACCAAGACGTTGATTAACTTTGGTAAAGAGTGCTTCAATATGATCTGACCACAATAATGTAACGATAATGTAACGAAAAGATATATGATATCAGACAATAAAGTAGCTAAATAAAAACCCAAAATGATAAAACTACCTTTTTTAGATATATAATTCCATTTTGTGTGACATCAAATCGCCAGGCGATATTCTCGTTCTCAAAACGATAACTCAAGAGCTGTTTACGTATTTCAAAAGGTCCGTTAGGGTTTTGTTTCTTTGATATATGATAGCGTTCATTGTCAGGATCATAATGCTGGATTTGACCAAGGATTGAACCACGAGAGAATGAGGGTAACGCAAGGAAGGAAGTATTGCAGAGTATCTGTGGTGCTTCATTTACATCTGAAATAAGGATGAACAAAAATTATATATTAATATATGTGAAACGGTTACTTCAAATGTAGGGAGAGGGGAAAAATGTGGGGACTGCCTGAAATACACTTTCGACATTTCGAGAAAAGGCTCTTCGTCAGTACTTTAGGAGGTCAGTAGACTTGCTTGCTGGCTAGAATTAACTTTATTTTTATAGGGTCTATCCAGTCTGTTATGAGGTCAGTTTCATTTTCAAATTGGTCTATCCCGTCTTTTATCAGATCGGTTAAGTCCTGTTCTAGTTAAAGACTGGATAGACCTCACCAAATATGAACCCAATTTAAGCGAGTCTGCGTGGTTTGTAGTGGCTCTTGTTTCGACTCTACCGTTTCCTCCTATAGTACCACTGAACCAATACTCGATCTCTTGCAAGAACTGTTTAGAACTGACGGAGCTATCCAGTACAAGTGATATTATTTTAGGTTTCATCCTTTAGTAACAATAGATCAACAAGAGATGACCCTGAAGGAGAAAATTTCCAAAGTTTTCCAGTTATTTTATTTGAGTTTAGAACAATTTAGAATTGAAACAGCTATCCAGTATAATTAAAGTTAATTTACTGAAAGTATACATTTACAAGTTCTCCCACCATACCTAAAACATTAATCTTGAACTGTTTATCTATAAAAAGCTGAGCTTGGCGATGATCCGGAACAATATCTTCACAATTAATGTTCACATATTGCACTCTGGAAGATTCAAAATCCAACGGACGAACAGTCTTAAGTGTTAGTGAGTTTGTTGAAGTGTCAATGTAGAATGGCGTGTCAACATCGAGTATGGTACAGCTATGACGCTGACCCACATCTGGATCAGAAATTTCTAGAATTCCCACCACTGTATCGTTCTTGTTTTCTCGGATTTCTAACTTGCTCAAAGTGAGGCTAGTTGGAGCCTCATTCACATCTTGAAGGAGAACAAAAGGGAGTACGTTAACCATTGAGAGTCTATTATAATTTATTTCCTTTTATGCAGTTGTCTTGTATTTGCAGCCCAATATAATAATTACAATTTTATTCCACACTTTAGTACTCCAAAATTACCTTCAACAGGCAGATTTATCCAACGAGTAACAGAAGCTCCATGTTGATCCTCACATCTCACTAGAATCTGCAATGACTTGGATGAACCTAGACTTTCATAATCAGTAATCGTTGGTCCAACGACAAGAATCATTGAAATCAAATTGACACGACCATTACTATTGTGTTGCAATTTACATGAAGCTTTTGTATTGCTATCCAGGTCAATCATTTCAAGCTGAGTGATAAAGACATTTTGAACACTATTTTCAGAAAGTTTTGCATCTGCCGGATGAAGTCTGATGTCTGTTGGTGGATCATTCACATCTAAAAGTACGATGAGGATTTATGAGTGTAGAAGCAATCATTTAGTAAGGTAATAACTCTCATATGTTACTAACAATTTGATTCCTGCGAAATTCAGTCGTCTAAATATACATCGCTTACTTGCAGGAAGAGTGCTTCTATAGTTTGAATCTGAAATTCCCGGAAACAAAACAAAACAAATTCTCTGAAGCACTCTCCCAACATTTCTATGGGTACACCGGTTTCCTCGAACACTGGACCAATATAAAATGACACCTACTCCCCCAGAATAAATAACGCCAATTCACTGGACCAATATTGGACATTTAGAAAGACAGATCAGAACTGATAGAACTATCCAGTATAAATAGAGCAGGTGACATTAGTTTAATTAATATATTAAACTATAAACAAGCTTTTGTTGGTAGGATGCAACTAGCTGAAAATATATAAGGAAAGTGTCTCCGATATTCTTCGTATATATGTATAGGTTATTTTGAGGCAACGAGGGGATATGTGATTTATTGTGATACATTGCAGGTGAACATTAGAGGGGGATTATTAGAGGGAATTATTAGACAGGAATATTGAACATATATTTCTCGATAAGAACAAAGGAAACCGAGCAGGGTGAAAAATAATTTCAGGTAGTTGCGTCTTTACCAACGAAAACTTCTTCATTTTATTGGTACTGCCTATACTGGCAAAAACAGTCCAGATTATATCTAAAACCATGTTCAAAAGAGGATGAGAGTTGATGAAAGTTGACAGTCGCGCATTGTTACGAGAAAAATTTCAAGCTCTAGATTAACAAAATAAAGGTTTGATGAGTCCTCCAACTGTGTTAAATTTTTACTTTAATAGAAGACAGTACTGTTGTGTTTGGAAAGCATTAAGAACAACTAACCAAGTTCAATCGCATGACTGCAAACTCTCTTGCATTCTTATCCTCGTTTGATCCGGGCTTTAATTTTTAACAAACCTTGAACCATAATTGTAAATATCTTTTCCAAGTATAGTCCACCGTTATCAGTGACTCGAAGATGAACACTAATACTTGGGGTATGTTCAAAATGAAGTGGTCCAAGAAAAAAGAGTTGATCTTGGTTGGTTCCACCAATACGGAAAGATTGTGAGTCTCTGACAGTGTAGGTAAATGCTTGGTTCATTCCATCAGGGTCTTTTGCAGATAACGTGGCGATGTTGATCATGTTTGATTGACTTTCTTCAACACTCGTACTTGATAGGACAAGAGAAGTGGGCGCCTCATTTACATCTAAAGAAAAACTTTAACATGTTTGTTATGCAGGCTAATTCCGTTCTTGTGGTTAGCTAGATCGTTGTCACCAACGATCGGTTAGATATAAGTTGGCTGCCTTGAAGTGGTCTCATATTGTATACAAAGCTCGTGTGTTAGTTGAAGTACGACTTTCCTCTCCGAATTAAGTGTGGAATGGAGGTTACCAGAATCACAGGGCCGCAGGTTCGATTAATATTCCTTTCAGGGATTTATAATTGCATTTATTGCAGCTGTTCCTGATTACGTCTAATAAACTTATATACATTTGCATACGATAATTTCCAGCTACAAAACCCTTCAACTACTAATCCAAACCCTTCAATTGAGTGAGATGCCAACAAAATCCTGCTATTTACATTAAAGCGATTCGATGTTGTACAGAATTAAATTAACTTACCCAATTGCATGGCGGTAAGAGACAGTCGTTAGTGTGATATAGATTTGAAATCCACTGGCGCTACTATTAAGGGACCATTAACCAATCAGATGCGTTTTATATCCCCGATTAACCAATCAGATGCGTACTAAGCCAGTGAGAGGTAGTGGTAGTGGATGTCAAATCTGTCTCAATCGGCTAGCGTCAAACTGCTACAGTTACACTGACCTGTGATTTTAATCAAGAACTGTTTGGAAATCCCAAGTTTCTTATCTTTACAGAAAACAGTGATATTATACATTTTCTTTGTTTCAAAATCAAGAATCCTGTTTGTTTTGATTCGAAGAAGATTTCTTTGTGCGAAGAGACCTGTTTGGGCGATATAGAAAGCATCTTCATCGCCATTGCTGGAGTTAACCAGGGAACATGTGTGACTTTGAGTCAGTTCAATCTTGTTGTCTGGATCTTGTACCTGGAACAAAAGATTCAAATTTGTTCATTGCTTCATGCAATAATCTTGACTGTAAAAAATTTCCATCAAATTTAACGTTGAATTAAGCTAACAGTATCTATATACCTACTAAAGTTGCAAGTAATCGATTGACAATTCTCTCACGAGGTATCGAGAATTTAATATATTGTGATGTGTGACCCTTTGTAAATATAAAAGCCCATCCATCATAACATCGCAAAATTCAAATAGCATAATATTTGGCATAAAAATATATTGAAAAGAAAGTAATATCAAATGATACATACCAAAAATTCACCAACCACAGTACGACCGGGTGAGTTCTCAGGCACTCTGTCATCAGATATCAAAATATCAGTGGGTCTTTCATTGACATTCTCGACTTCAATTCTAAATCTTTTTCCTGATGCTCCCCCCGCATCTGTTACTGCTACCCAAATAAAGAATTCATTTTCCATTTCATAATCAAGAGATCCATTCACTACCAGAGGCACGGAACATGTTTGGATGGGTTTCCCATCTTGAAGACGGAGAGCACAAGTTGCAGAACCTAATACAAACAATTTATTTATATATCAGTTTTAAAAAACGCGCGAACGATAATGCAAGTAGGCACGTTAATTAGGATGAGAATAATCTTGCTACGAAGAATTGTGTCCTTAACCCATTAAGCTACTCTCACGCAAGACGATTTTACTTATCAAAGAGAGAGCACTGGTGCTTAGTGGGTGGGTTAATGATTATTCTTTTGTAAGTTACCCAGCTTATGAATGAACTTAAACTAGTATTAAATTAAACTGTGTTGATACCGGATAGCTCTATCAATAATGGGTGATTCCAGTTATAGATTATATTTTGATCAAGGCATGCAAGAAGAACGAAATCCAACACTACAGCTAGAAAGAACGTCTTAGAATGAGTAAAACTGTTGTAAAAAGAAACAAAATATAGCCTTGCATGTAAAGTTCGCAAATTTTGTATATATTTGTATTACGCGCGGTAAAATAACCACTTTCGGCTCAAAAATGGTTATTTTTCCCGCGCGTAATTGAAATATATATTGAAAATTTGCGAATTTCACAGAGGGCTATATTTTTCTCATTTTACATGTACAACAATTCGCAACCAAACTTTGCAGTTTTACTCATTTTAAAATGCTCTTTCTATAGCTATTGTAATGGTTTTCATTCTTCTTGCCTGATCAAAATTTCGTCTATAGCTGGAATCACCAATTGGCGAACTGTTCGTCCATGAGATCCAGTACGAGTTATATCTTATGAGTCCAGAGTTACTACAGAAACAAACTTAGCGTATCTAGGAGAAACACTTAAGGTGGTTGGTACAGTCCAATTAGAATAATACTTCTGATGTAAACGTAACTGAGTTGAAATTATAATCATACAACTGCATGTTGTAGGAATTGAACTCCACGTGAAGGACACATGCACTTACTACTTTTGCACCATAAATAATTCATTGTTCATCGCTAAACGCTACAGAATTAAGAGATTGCCATTCTTATTACCATTTAAAACGTTGAAGAATCTACCTTGCTACTCACCTTGTAATGCAAATTTTCTGAGATCTCTCCTCTCAATTCCTTGCAAATCAAAAGACAACGTATCATTATCATCAACTGTCGCCATTATATCACCAACAGGCGTTCCCATCTGAGACTTCTCAGACACGCTATGATTGGTTAGGTAGATATACTTTTGACAATCGTTGCAATTACGTACGTTTATAAACATATTAACAACCTGGGAAGACTTTCTAGGAATTCCATAATCAGTACATTTCAATTGAATTCTATGAACATTTTTGGACTCTTGATCTAAGCTCTTTGCTGTGAGTATTTCGTTTCCACGAAGTGAGAATAGTCCGTTGTCAGTGTCAACTATCTCCCAGGAGAAATTCGAAGTCCTTCGTGGACCTACATCATCGTCTATTGCTGTTAGATTTCCGACAGTGTGGTGCATGGGAACATTCCCAACAAGTTCGTTATTTGAAAGTTCTAATCCATAGGGTGGATCGTTGATGTTTAAGACCGTGATGTAATGAGTAGCTTTAGAATGCATCATTGGTGACCCGTTATCGGAAACATTTACAACTACCCGATGAGTATTGTCACCCAAATTATGAGACCATACCAACCGATTCTTTACTAACAACATATTGCCTTGAATAAGAAAATAGTAGTTCCCTTCTGGGTTTAAAATACTGAAAATCAGATGATCCTTTTGAGGATCTGTCGCAGATAATTTACCAGCTGGTGTTAAGAATGATTCTTTTTCATTAATGACAGTTTTCGATATGGTAACACCCAAAGGTGGGTCGTTAACTCTTCTGCAATAGTAAGGGGTAGTTACTGGATTCCAATCCCATATAACTGCCCTTGAATTTGAGTCAACCGTGCACAAGGTTCTATCACTAGGGCTACCAAAATCAACTGTGGTAAAATTCTCAGCAAATTTTTGTCTGAAATTTGGTTGAGCGATCACTGCAAGTTTATAATTGTCCACACAGCTCAGGGTACAAGATTGTTGATATTTATATCCGTCATGGCAGGTGATTTTTATAGGCATGCAGGTTCTTCCAAATTCATCACGATATGCGTCAGCAGGACATTGCGGAGCGGTCAGCGGTGTACATGATTTCATTTCACATCGACGACGGTTGGATGAAGGTTGATAGCCATAGAGACATTTGCACTCATAACTACCGTCTGTGTTCTTGCAGTTTGCGTTGATACATATTTCTGAACCATCTAAACACTCGTTCTTGTCCGCACACGATATCTTGTCGTCTGGGCAGAAATAAAATGAAAGGAATGAAATAAAAAAGTGTTACGAAACTAATTATATTTGCATGCAGTAGTTCTCTCCATTAAGGACAATCTCTTACAACCTCGTACCCAGGGCCTGTCCTCCCGAATTTTTAATATGACCGTCAAAGCGGGCGAGGCCCTGGTAAACGTTGGTCATGTAACTCCAAGAAGATTGAACATTACTTAATTTTATTTTTCTAACCTGGGGAAGGGGGAGGGATGAATGCTATAGGTGAAACTCAAAGACCAACAGTTTTTATCTCCGAAATTCTTCAGTCCTCCTTGTGAATTTAATTTGCATTTCAAGTCTTTTAAAATTACGGCGATAGATCAAACGGATCAATAATTTCTGTCGAAAAAACTCTGTGAGATTTATTCGCATACGACGTTCAAAAGATTTGGATATATCGCTCGTTGCACAGGTTTATGGTTTAGTACTTTGTTGCGAAGCAACAATATAGTCTTGTACATGACTAAAAGTTGGTTAGTAGAACTTGAGAAGGACAACTGTGAACTGATACAAAAGATATGAATACTTCAGCTTCAAACTAGGAACAAGTTCATGGACATCCTTTAAATGGACATCAACATTTTAACAATAATATGTAAATCTTATTAAATGATATAAAAAGGATTTCCGTCGTAT